AAAAAAAAAAAATGAAAATAAGTAAAAACAAGTACAGTGGCACATATTTGTATTCCAGAGACTGAGTCAGGAGGACTACTTGAGTCTTGGAATTTCTGGACAGCCTGGACAACATAGTAGGACCTCATCTCAAAAACAAACAAAAAAAAAAAGCAAACTAGATGCTGGTGGGTCACACCTGTAATCCTAGCTATTCAGGAGGCTGAAATCTGAGGATCACAGTTCAAAGCCAGCCCAGGCATCAAAGTCCATGAGACTCTTATCTTTAATAAACCACCAGAAAACCAGAAGTGGCGCTGTGCCTCAAGGTGTAGAGTGCTAGCCTTGAGCTGAAGAGCTGAGGAACAGCATCCAGGCCCAGAGTTCAAGCCCACAACTGACCAAAAAAAGAAAAAATAGCCTACTACGGTGGTAATCCCACATGTAATCGCAGCATTTGAGAGGAAGAGGCAAGGGGACTTGAGTTAGAGCCCACCTTTGATTACATAGTGAGTTGGAAGCCAGCCTGGGCTACATAGTGAGACCCTGTCTCAAAAAATAAACACAGGCTGGGAATGTGGCTTAGTGGTAGAGTGCTTGTCTAGCATGCATGAAGCCCTGGGTTCAATTCCTCAGTACCACATAAACAGAAAAAGCCAGAAGTGGCTTTGTGGCTCAAGTGCTACAGTGCTAGCCTTGAGCAAAAGGAAGCTCAGGGACAGTGCCCAGGCCCTGAGTTCAAGCCCCAGGACTGGGGAGAAGAAAAAAAAAAAAACAGAAAAAGAAAGCTTCTGACATGTACACCCCAATCCCCTTACCTACCCTCTCCCGCCTGGCATCCTGTAGGTGCTGACAGCAATTTTGTTCACTGGGAAACTTCCCCCCATTTTTTGGTTTATTTTGTGCCAGTCCTGGGGCTTGAACTCGGTCTGGGCGCTATCTCTGAGCTTTTTGCTCAAGACTAGTGCTCTACCACTTGCCACAGCTCCACTTCCAGCCTTTTGGTAGTTCATTGGAGATAAGAGAGAACCTCATGGACTGGCTTCATTCAAACCATGATCCTCAGATCTCCACCTCCTGAGTAGCTAGGATGATAGTCTCGAGCCATTGACACTTGACTTTCCCCTCCCCTTTTCTTTCCCTGGCTTCATTTGTTGGCTGCTTTCCTGACTTTCATTTCTCTCTCCTTCCTCCACCCACAGTACTCCCCGACCCTCAATAAGCTTTTCTGTCAGCTGGCAAAGACCTGCCCAGTGCAGCTGTGGGTGGACTCAACCCCTCCACCTGGCACACGAGTCCGCGCCATGGCCATCTACAAGAAGTCCCAGCACATGACAGAAGTTGTGAGGCGCTGCCCACATCATGAGCGCTGTTCTGATAATGATGGTAAGTATTTGGAGCTGGAGGCAGGACAAAGCTAGCCGCCCAGGGTCTCCAAGCCTCTTTAACTTGTCACTGATGCTTATAGGTCCAGCACCTCCTGAACATCTTATCCGAGTGGAGGGGAATTTGCATGCAGAGTATCTGAGTGACCGCCACACTTACCGACACAGCGTAGTGGTGCCTTATGAGCCACCTGAGGTCTGATTGCATACCTGGGTTTCTGGGCGGAGAGGGCCAAAGTGGGGCTGTCAGTGACCATCCAAGTGGAGGGGAAGGGCTTGGTCCTACGCATATGTGTGTTAGTGTGCGCATGTGTACAAGCACACTGGGGATGAAACCCAGGACCTTGGGAATACGAGGCCAGTGATGTACTACTGAGCTGCATCCCTGGGGCCCGCCTATGTCTTCCTCATCATCCCACAATCTGTGGAGTATGCAGGACACATGATGGATTAGCTCTACTCCATAGTTAAAGAAAGTAAAGCTGCCAGGTGCCAGTGGCTTGCGCCTATAATCCTATCTACTCAGGAGACTGATATCTGAGGCTCAGCTAGCTTGGGCAGGAAAGTCTGAGACTCTTATCTCCAATTAACCACCAGAAAATGGGAAGTTGCACTGTGGCTCAAAGTGCTAGAACACTAGCTGAGTGAAAAGGTTCAGGGACAGCACCCAGGCCCTGAGTTCAAGTCCCGTGACCAACCTTTCCCCCCACCCCCTCCAAAAAAAGGAAAGAAACTAAAGCCTACAGAGGCTTCATCTGGGGCCTATATCTTCCCCCAGGTTGGCTCTGACTGTACCACCATCCACTACAACTACATGTGTAACAGCTCCTGCATGGGGGGCATGAACCGGCGGCCCATCCTCACCATTATCACACTGGAAGATTCCAGGTAGGGAGCTAAGTGCCACCCTTTACACTGTCATGCTCTTCATTAGCCTCTGCCTGGCCCTTTGCTCCTGAGTCCTACCCCTAACCACATCACCATCCCTCTTTAGCTCCCACATGGTTCCTCTAAGTGGAATCTCCTCTATTTCCTTTCTGTCTTTAGACTTCTCTTACCTGTGGCTTCTCTTCTGTCTCTGGAGCTGGGATTTAGAAACCCAGACAGAACTGGGGCTGTGGGGAGCATGTAGACTCGGGTTATAGAACAGGGCAGGTAGGGCCCACTACCTCATCGACTCCATTTTCTCTCCTTATCTGGGCTAGTGGCAAACTGCTGGGACGCAACAGCTTTGAGGTACGTGTCTGTGCCTGTCCTGGGAGAGATCGACGCACAGAGGAGGAAAATTTCCGCAGAAAAGAGGAGCCTTGTTCTGATCCTCCGCCTCTACCAGGGAGCACTAAGCGAGGTAAACTGGTGGATGGAGAGGAAGAGGGGGAAAAGGAGGTACCCTTCAGCCCCAAACTCATCCCTCTTGCTTTTCCTTGTCTCTTCCCCAGTACTGCCTACCAACACTAGCTCCTCCTCTCCTCAGCCAAAGAAGAAACCACTGGATGGTGAATATTTCACCCTTAAGGTACCAAACTTGGGACAGACTCATGCGGTCTTTTGCATATACTAAGTAAGATGGGAAAGGGGGTAAAAAGGATATATCCATTTGTTTCCTCAGTTCATGTCCTTAATTGTTAGAAAGTTCATCATACCAGGTTGAAAGTTTAAGTCTAACATCCAAATGCTATGTCCTTTTTGGCTGCTTTGGCTAACATTTTGGACATTAGCCATCAGTAGGCCTTGATGCCCCAATAAACAATGGCTCATGGTTTTACCTAACTTAAGAACATCCGTCTGTATCAGAATACAAGTATTCCACCACTTAAGATACTCACATCTCAGTGAAAATACTAAGTTGAAAATGTAAGTTCAAAGTATATTTAGGGCCATGTGCTGTTGGCTTATATCTGTAATCCTAACTACTGCTAAGGAGGCTGAGATCTGAGGGCTCCAGTTCAAAGTCAGCCCAGACAGACAAATCCAGGTGAGCATAAAAGCTGGAAGTGGAAACGTGGCTCAAATGATAGAGTGCCAGCCTTGAATGAAAGAGCTAAAGAAGAGATTGAGGTCCAGAGTTCAAGCCCCAGTACAGCATTTAAAAAAAATTTTTAAAGTATATCTGGGCACTAGTGGCTCACACCTGTGATCCTAACTACTAGGGAGGCTGAGATCTAAGGATCATGGTTCCAGCCTGGCACATGTCTCAAATGGAAGAGCATCAGCCTTCAGTCAAAAAAAAAGCTCGGGCGCTGGTGGCTCATGCCTGTAATCCTAGCTACTCAGGAGGCTGAGATCTGAGGATCGTGGTTCAAAGCCAGCCCGGGCAGGAGAGACTGAGACTCCTATCTCCAATAAACCACCAGAAAACCGGAAGTGTCGCTGTAGCTCAAGT